TTAAAGGCAGTGCTTTTTGCTTGCTTGTCGCATATTCAATTTGGCATACATAAGCTTTTTATGTAAATGTAAAGAATATGTTAGTATGTTAGTAGTAAGAATGATGGTTAGTTTGTTGGCGTCTTGGCCATTATTATACATACAGAGAATAGTGCAAATATGTTGAATAGTGTCAATGGATATGAAATATTTTCTGTTTTTTTTTTTTAATGATTTCTGCTTAAATATTTATATTTAAATGAACAAAATCTTTTCGAATACATTGGCAGCATGACGTTTTCATAACATACATATGTATGTATTATAGAACGCCTTCGCCTAAAGAATAATGTTCATTAAATACTGGTAAACGAAAATGTATAATATTCAATCCCATTTTGTTTGTGATTTTTGTGATTTGCATCTTTAACTTGTATTTGTATTTGTATTTGTATAAGGTCCAGAGTACAAAGGGGCCTTTCGAGTAGTGGCAGTGGTTGTATGGCTGCCAAAGAAATTGAATTTGACGGTTTTGTGGCTTGCTTGTTGCTAGCTTAGAACGTAGGTAAGGGAAACTCTACTACTTCGTTAACTACATACATTTATGTAATTGAAAAAAATTACATTACAGTAAATACTTTAAAAATACATATTTACATATTTGAAAAGTAGTAGTAGAAAGCAATACAAATGCATTGCAGAGTAATTCAAATATGTACGTGTGTTTGTGTGTACCAATATTTCTCAAAAATCGTATAAATATGTATGTATATTCAAAAACTAATGCTAGTTTACATCACCGTATATCAAAAATGAATTTGTTTGTTTGCGCATTCTTGTTGCCGTTATTTTTTGTTAGTTTACTTCCTTAAACTGTTATTTTTATTCTTAACTTTTAATTTTTAATATTTTATTTTTCTATTTTCTGTTTTGTTATTATTATTTTTATTATTATTATTATTATTATTTTTTGATTTTTGCTTTTTGGTTTCTATGCAGTTTTCTCCTCTCTGCTACGTGCGTTTTTACGTTTATCTTTTTTCTGGCATTTGTTTAAAGCTTTTTTTAGTTGTTGGTTTTAACTTGTTGTGCAGTGTTCTTGTTCTTGTTGTTGTAGTTGTTGTTCTTGTTGTAGTTGTTGTTGTACAAAATTTGTTATTTTATTCGTTGTAAAATATCGTATCAAATCAGAAGACAGTGTCAAAACAACGAACCCATGGCGGTCGTCGTTATTGACGCCGACAATATGTATACTTATACAATACATAAATATTTATTTATATATAAGTATGTATGCACAATATACATATTAGTATTTAAATAACTATATGTAATATGTACATGGATTGATCGCGTCGTTTCAGCTCCATTTGGAGTTGAAGTAGTAGCGAAGCTTTGTATTACCGAGTGTATAAGTTTAGAAAATAAATAGGAGTTGAAGGAGTTGTAAGGAGTATCCGCGTTGTAAGACATACATGCGCGTACATATGTATGTAGGTTTGGTGGTATTCACTATGCGGTAACAGTACAGTGAATTGAGAAAAATGTGTCAGTAAAGAAATGTGTAGTCACTGCAGCTACATATATAGAGGAGCAAAAATTCAGTGTTGGATTTGTGGTGGTAGAAAGACGCTATCGCCGAAATCTGATATTTACCTCTGTGGGTAAAATTCTTACCACGATCTGCCCCAAAGCGAAGATATTCAACTTATCGGGGACAACTCAGCGCACCGAAGAAAGAGAAAGACGACACGACTAAAGATATTTTCAATGAACGCCGCGAAGGCACCCATGAAAGCTGCCCCAGTCACGATGTTGAAATTGTGCTTGGCAAGCTTAACATCAGGGTGGACAACAAGAGTGCATTCGGCATAGTAGTTGGAAAATTCAGCTGCCACTGTGAAACTTGCTCAAACGGGCTGAAGTTCATCGATTTCGCCGTAGTCGAATTATAATTGTCTGTAGCACCAGATTCAGGCACAAGAATATTCATCAATCTACATGGTTGTGGTCGATTCTCGAAATATCACATCTCATCTACAAGAGTACGTTTCGATTATCAAACGTCGACTCGAAGCACTATCTTGCCGCACCGAAGAATGCACCTGACTCTGTGGAGCAAAGAACGCCTGCCAATAAACACAAGGAAGATTCTGCTATAAAATTTTGTAATCAAGCACAGAGAAATTCAGTCAGTTTTCTACTCGACTACTTTCTAATTCGTTGCTTTCAGCAACTCAACATAAAATAATTATTCTCCAGCCCAGAAGTTCCATCACCCAACTATGACAAATCCCGGCGTCATACCGGCCAATCCTGTGGCAAATAACTGCATCAAATACTTTGCAGGTTCTGGTTGGGCGAAAACAAGTCCGACGATTGTATGCTGATTGTGATCTGTGCAATCCATAGGTGGCTGGTTGACTGTGTGAACTCACTAAAACTGCCATTAGGATCGCGACGGATTCTATGAGCCGTTCAAAATAAAAATGGGTTTCAAACTAAGTGTCTCCTCAATGGGTAACTCCTTTAATTTAATTTTGGAGAAAATAATACGATCATGAGAGCTGAATAGTGAATGTAAAATCCTCTATAAGAGCGTACAACTGCTGACTTATGCCGAAAATAATGACATCATCAGCCCCAAAAACAACGCCATTAGTTTCACTTACTCCAAACTGGATAACGAAGCGAAGCGATGATGGACGTGGCGTGGACGATGATGACATCACAAGAGTCGGCACTAGGAGAATGAGAGAAACGTTTTGCCTACGACTTTTAAACCATTTCGTACTAGCGAGAGAAAAATATTAAAGCCCTTCAGCTTTAAATGCGAATGGCTCAATACAATGCGAATGGCTGAAAGGAGAGGAAGAGAGTGAGATCATGTGGAAAATGATCTGTATTCGCTTGGTATTTTCAATCTGGTCTGAACAGCTAAAAAAGAATCCATAGCCATGATTTTGTTGACTCAGGTAGAAGAAGGGATTTAACTGTATACCCATTTCGGTTTCTTTCAGGAATATCATGCCCCAATAATACGGGATTGTGGAAGGCCATTCACGAGGTATCTCGTGACAGGGTCGGTCATTCATTGGAAATGGGAAAACGAAGGGCGAAATTCGTGTGCCGTCTAGCATTAAGGTTGAAACTCAGACCAACCTTCAGCGTTACAAAAATTTAAAGCAGATTTGCTTAGGTAAAAGTACAAAGTAATAATTTGCAAGTTGGCTTTTTTCGTAAATAGTGAATACCACCAAAATTCGTATAGACGAGAACATACATAGTGAGCGAGTATTAAATAATTGTGTTTTTGGAGTGTTGAGAGAGTGGTGTCAAGTCGAAATTGTTCACGAATATTGAAAAGTTGAGTGTAGAACTCAAAACTACATACATACATATGCGTACACTTGTTTTTTTTTTGTTTTTTTGTTTTTTTTTTGCTTTGTTGCTTTGTTGCATGCGCTGAGAAATTGGTGCCTATTGCATATCAACATCAACACAGCAATAGTTGGTTGGTTATACATACATACAATTATCGGCGGTGTATGTGGCGCAGATTTACGCTGAAATTACGTACATTGTGCAACTCTGTGTTTTTGTGTTTTACAGTTATTACTTGCAAAACTACGTAAGCATATGCTTGATGCACGAGTATATATATGTATACTATTTGTTTAAGTATGTACATGTGTACATGTATGTTTGTGCGTAAAGCCGTTAAGTACTTTTAGTAATTGTTATTACATTTATTTTAGTATTATATATACGTATGTATGTACATATCTATATAGAAGCTATATAGAACTAAACGTGCACAGTCCTACAGGATAAGATCCATTGTTTTTAGTAAATTTTTGGATTTTCAGTAAGTTTTATTTTGAAAAAAAAAAATGATAATTTGAAGGTTTTATAATTTAAAAAATTTAAAAAGCGCTCTTAAGCTAAAGAAAGGAAAAACAAAAAAAAGTTACTTTGTTTTTGTTTGGGAAATAATATTGAAAATTAAAATAACACCAATATCTCATTATTAATATTTACCACATTTATGTATGTATGTAAGCTACACAAAAATTTGCCAGGTTTTTTTTGAACAACATTAAAGCCAAAAACAAATCATATGTATGTATGTCGGCCTCGAAACAAAAATAAAGCTTATACAAATAAATACATACACACAGTACTCTTTATGTGAGAGTGTCAACAACAAAAAAAAAAAAAAAAAAACAAAAATTAAAAAAAGATTAAACTATTTAGAGGTCGACCCTACGAAAAAAATGCCTTTTAAATATAATATATAGAGCGAACACCGATTACATATATGCACATAATTATCATTATTATTTATGATCTGTATGTATGTATGTATGTTTGTTTGTATGGTACGTAGTAGTTTCTTTGCTGTTTTTCGTGTATTTTTAGGCTTTTCTTGTCTGTACGATTAGTTACTTTTAGTAAAGTGTTTAGGTAGTATTTAACGGTTTATATGTATCAATCCGTACTTGGTACATAACATTGAAATTAGGCATTTAAAACATATATAGTAGTGGATTATTTAGCTATGAAGGGATTTCAAAACAATCTTGCGTTTTTTTTTTGCACTTTTCTCAAAAAACCATCGATAATTTTGCAAAGTACAAGGCAGGTGAGTGGGAGGAGGGGGAGAACATTTATTATAACGTTGATTAAGTGGTTGTAGTAGTAGTGGAGATAGTTGTAGTAATAGTAGTAGTATTGAGACTGGTTGTAGTAAGCAGTTTTCTTTGTGGTAGTAAAAGTGATTTATTGTATAAGTAGTTTTGTTGGTATTAGTTATTGAGTAGTTAGTTGTTGGAGTAGTAGGTTTCTAAATAGTAGTACTAGTAATAGTAGTAGTAGTAGTAGTAGTAGTAGTAGTAGTAGTAGTAGTAAGGGTAGTAGTAGTTTTCAAGTACTAGTAATAGTAGTAGTAGTTAGCAGTAGTAGTAGTAGTAGTAGTAGTAGTAGTTAGTAGTAGGATAGTATAATACATTCTCGCATACTTGTATTTGTTCAAATGGTACTTCAAATGAGAACGACTCATTATAGTAAGGGTTGAGGGTGCATTTTTTGATACTTGTCTTCTTCTTTTTCAAACGTTTTCCATTTTGCATGATTGCAATTTTCACATATGGATCTATAAAAATAGAAAGAGAAAGTGAGAAAATAAAAAGTAAATATAAAATTTCAAATACGAATATTTCAATTTTGTTTACTTTGGTTTTAAATTTTGACTGAACTATTTTTTTTTTTTTTGATTTTTTTTTTTGTTTTTTTTTTTATTTAATTTTATTAGTTGGCTTGGTTTAACTGTTGTTCTTTGTTTTTTTTTTTTTGAATAAGTATATATGTATGTGTAGTACACTTTGCAAGGTTATACATATATATATATATATGTATGTATGCATACATAACTTGGTTATACAAATTTGCAAATTCATTAACATATTAAATACTATATTTGTAAACTTTTTGTAACCAACTTTTTTTTAACATTTAATAATAGGGTAAGTAAGAAATTATAAATAAGTCGGAGGTAGAAAAAATTAAAATAAATAATAAAAAGTTGAAAGTTATTTTAAAGCAAATTATTCACAGCGTACGATGCACTGAATCTTTTCCTCGCACAAATTATTTCGCAGGTTGTGAGCATTATTATTGTTTTTTTTTCGAAAATGGAGCTTTTTTTAGCAGCCTCTCAAAAATTAATTTAATTTTAATTTGTTTTTAATTTTGTTTTTAATTGTAATAATTAATTATTCTGACAAAAAAACCATAGGACGATATGTATAGAGAACCAAGCCAAGAAGGGTATCGGGTTTAGCATTTCTGGAATTGCTGATATCAATAAGTTAATATTACTGCAAATTTAAGATATCAACTTGTTACCGTTTTTGAAAAAAAACCAAAATACTTTCAAAAAAAAAAAAAATTCAGAAACTTCTGGAGCGATTGATCTAAATTATTGATATGCTCTTATCGGAAATAATGAAACCGATTTGATTGACAAAAAAGGTGAAAAAGACCGCCACGTGAGCACTTATGTAATTGTTGTGGAACTAAATATAAGCCAGAAAACCGTTTGGAACCATTTGCATAACCTAGGATTCGCTCGATATTTGAGTGCCACATGAACTAACGCAAAAAAACATGATGCACCGAATTTCCATCTGCGAATTGCTGCTAAGTCGCAAAAAAATCGATCCGATCGTGAAACGGATTGTGACTGGCGATGAAAAATAGATCACTTACGTCAACAGCGAACGCAAACGGTCGTATTCAAGGCTCGGGGAAGCGGCCCAGACGGTGGCCAAGACCGGATTGACGGTCAGGAAGGTTTTGCTGTGTGTTTGGTGGGATCGGCAAGGAATCATCTACTACGAGCTGCTCAATTCAGTCCTCTACTGCCAACAAATAGACCGCTTGAAGGCAGCACTCATCCAGAAGAGGCCATCCTTGATCAACAGAGGCCGAGTTGTGTTCCATTAGAACAACGCCAGGCCACACACGTCTTTGGTGACGCACCCACCTTATAGTCCGGATCTTGGACCAAGTGATTACCATCACTGTCCATGGCGAACACGCTTAATGTTGAGAAGTTAGCCTCAAGAGAGGCTTGCGAAAATTGGCTCTCCTAGTTTTTTTCCAATAGGGACGCAGCCTTGTACGAGAGGGGTATAATGAAGTTGGCAACAAGTTTAAGAACAAAACGCAGCATATTTGGCTTATATCAGACATATGTACACAAAGTTATCATATTTTGAAAAATCAATAAAAAATCGAACGAACTTTTTACTTGACATAATATTATATAGTGCATACAATATTGCGAGAGACTCTTCAGGAAAAGATCTATTGGGTAGTTGGCGTAATACCAATGGCGCAAACCGTAGATGGATCCACGATTTTTTTTAATTATTTTTTTGTCCTTATCGGCTTATGGCCCTTTCATAGTAATTAAAACTCACTGTACTCACAGCATTTGGATATGAATATATAAAATATCACAGAACCAATTTTTCATAAATAATATCGGAAACTCTAGGCTGGGAACTGGATTTATGAAGATTAATTAATATACAGGGCAGGCCACATTAGATGAACCCATTGGACTGGCAACGCTGTAGCTTTGACAATAAACGTCATTTGACTAATATTTGCTATGGGGAAGACCGTCGCTTGCATTGAGAAAATCTCATCGAACAAATGGCTGAAACGCTAGAAAATTTTTGGCAGACACAAATCATGAGTGATGAAACCCATTTCATGTTAAAAAAAACAAAATTGTGTACTGGCCCTGCCCCACTGTAGGGCCTCAAATGATTGAATACATATCACTTAACGACCCAAAAGTGACAGTGTAATGGAGAATTTGTGCTGCCAACTATTCTTCGAAAATGGCATGGGACACTTATGGCTTCAGCAATACGGCGTACCAACTCAAACAGCTTTTGCTACAATGTTTTTTTGAAGCCATTGTTCCCTGGATGCTTGATAAAAAAGGTGAAAAACGTTTAACAAGATCTCAGTACATCTGTTTTGACACCAGCGGATGTTTTCTCTGTGATTACTTGAAGTCAAAGGTTAATGTCAAAAACTCCAGAGTCTTCGGACGAACTTAAGGCCAACAGTCATCGAGGAATAGCCGCCATATCGATCGTAAGATTGGCAAAAATAATAGACAATGCCGATAAACGGACATTTACATCATTGGAGCTCGTGTTGACCACTTGGGCGATATCATATTTGAAAAGTGATATAATCAGATCCTCTTGAATCCAGTTGACAGCTTTTTTAATTGAGTATCGAAAATGTGTTTTGTTTCTAATTTTTGTTTTTTAACAAATGGCGCTTTTGACTTCCATTCGAAAAGATTCAGTGGCAACTGCATTTTTGAGGACGAATAAAACCAAATACCACATTATTAATTGCGGGAAACTAAACAGAAACATTTAATTTAATTACTTAAAACACATATTTTTTTAACAAAAATGAAATAACACCTATCTAATTAACATTTAAAACATTTTTATATTTAATTAATATTGTTTACTGATTATTAAAGAATTTTGAACATTAATTTATACGGATCATCATCAATTTATATGTTTGTAAAAGCCTAGAAGAGCTGGATTTGATATTTTCAGAGGCAACACGTTCGGACGAACGAGGCGAGAAACGTTGATTTGCGAATGAAAGCGAGCGGATAGGGCAGTACAATAAATATTAATTTAAGTATTAGTTAGTATATTGAAAACGTGCGAGCGCTCTACTTGAAAAAAAAAATACACTAAATATTTGAAGTGAAAAAATTATTTTTGCCTTAAAATTTAAGATTCTCTTAGTAAACTGCAAAGATATTTAATTTACAAATATGTATATGTATTTACAAATATATAAATACTAGCATATATAAGTAGATTATGCAATAATAGTATTATTTTGAAATTATTATTTTTATTTATTAGTAAATGAAAAATAAGGAAAATGTGAAAAATGCCTCGCCGTGTTGCCATTTGAAAATATCGATGGGTTTTAATGATGGGAAGGTTGAAATTGTTAGTTTTGAGGTTAGTAAAGCTTCGAAATTGACATACTATATGTATATATTATAGATAATTAAGAAACTAAGCTAAATTACGAAAATAAAAATGGGCGTTGCCGTATTATAAAACAGATGAAATATTTAGTTATTGGAAAGATTTAAATTTTTGAAGTTTTTTTTTTGTATTCTCGTACTCTCAGCAATTCAATATTTATAAATGTGTATATATCGTATATATATAAATATATTTGGCCCATTTTTGCTGTTGTTGTTTAATGTTAAAAAAATGGCAACGAAACACAAGCAATTATGTCAAAGAGCTTAAGTAAATAATTTTCAAGAAAGTAGAGTAAAATAAAATTCAGCATGCAAGCAACTCACATAAAATGCTAGCAAATATAAACTTTTGTAAAGGTTTTCAAAAGTTACACAAACACTTATACGACACAACATTGAGTGTTTCGTTTTAATTATTTTTTTGTTTTTTTTTTTCGTATGTAAATCGTTAATTTCGATGCAAGGATCGACAGTTTTACATTGCGCTATGTGTTGTTTCAAATTTTGTAAATTTTATTCGGCTTCACCTTACAACGAAATTGGCAAAAAATTACAAAACTACTGAATACAACGATATATCTTTGAATTGTGTTGTAAACTGTCAAGATCCTTGCATCGCATTGGCACCACATTTTATTACCAGACAATCCGCCGACGTCCATCTTCTTCAAGTTCTTTGCCTCCAAGATGACAACAGTTAGCTTGCCAGCGGTTGGTACGTAACGTAATGAGAAGCAGATATCGCCAAGCTTTTCCTGTATGTTTTTGTTTTTTTTTTGTTTCGGTAGTATGATGAAAAAAGAGATAAGGAAAGGAGAGAAAATATTTAAACAATTTAGTGATTTATTTAATTTTTAATTTTTTGTTAAGTAAATTTGCTTGTAATATTCACACAAATAAAACAATAAATTTAACTAGGCACACAACAGATCATATTGAGCTACATACAATACATATGAGTATTCGGCAGGGTACATACACACATACACTGATACACATCAAAATAAGGCGATTTCACGTTTATGTAGTATATATATTTAAGTTATAAGTATTACATAGAGTAACGTATTTGCTCCATATTGTATTAACAATTTTAAGTATATTTTACTGTTATATATATTTATATAGATAATTGTTAACAAACGGAAAAACACTAAATTACACAGTAATTATAGTTTCATATCTATGTAGCCCTACCATCCTTCGAGCTTCGCACTTTACAATAAACACTTTGTATTGTTTAATTTTTTTGTTTCCAAACAACCATTAACCATTTCACAGGGAATTGTTTAAAAAAAATGACCATGTCGGGGCTTTCTTTAATACGTTTTTATATGTATGATAGTCCTAGGTAAATAAAAAAATTCGTCTGTGTTTGCAAAAACAAAACAAAAACTCCAAATTGTGCCAAAATCTGAACCTACTTAAAAATTCAAATATCGAAAGGTTTGCACGTAACCTCCCTTTTTTCTAGAAGACACCATTATTATTACTACGAATACATTCAGAATTTAATTTTGAGAAAAAAGTATTTCTTGTCATTTTTGTTTTCGAAAACGATAATAAATAGATATCTGAAATTTAGAGTATCGAATTATCTCACTGTTATAAAAATTCCTCGGAGTTAAGCTATTTCAGAGACCGATTCACTCTATGTATGATCCTATGACCTTTCATTAAAATCACCAGTTTTGTTTTAAACCTGCTCATTGACAATCTTTTTCCTTGAATTATATAATTTCGAGAACAATAAAGTAAAAACCTCACGAGTTTGACATATGATTAAGAGATAACACCATAGCCCAGAATATTGTAATCACAGTAGCCTCCGTTTGATAATAAACCATTTACAGGCCTATTCTGTCGAGGTAACAAAATTTACCGAGGTATTAAAATTTACCATTCAGTAAATTTTGTTACCATTTCGTATTCTGAGCTCACTGTTACCCTGTAAATTTTGTTACCAGCGAAATAGGAGGTAACAAAAATATCTGCTGTTTGATTTTATGTTGTTAGTTTCAGAAAAAATAAAATGGGTGGGCATATTTTAGGCCTGAAATTTATTGAAAATGAAGAAAAAATTGCAAAAAAGCCGTATTTTAAAAAGTTTTCGAGACAAAAAATAGCCCTATAATTCATTCAGTTGTCCAATCAAATGTAATTTGACATGGACGAAAAAAACAGTGCTGCCAAATTTTTTTTCAAACAGTGTAACCTGTTCGCCAAAATACGAAATTCAATTTCCGGTATTAAGGAAAAGTAACAAAATTTACTTTACCGTTAACAGTGAGAATAGGCCTGTTAAAATTATGTTAATAACTGCTTTCGATAACTGCGATGTTCGATTTTCGATAAAGCATACGTAGCGATATTGTGAATATTACTCTTTTGTGCCATTCACAGGTTTCCTTACAGATTTTGTGAAATTTCGTAAATGTGAGATGAATAATTAATTCGATTATAAAATGAACTCAAAAATTGTTTAGGTTGCGCTAGGTCGTGGTGTAGTAGTCATCATATGGAACGCCAACGTCTTTTCCGAAGTTTAAGATAACTTTGATGTCTAATTTTCGCACTTTATCTATTTAGTTCTTTAAGCTGTAGGGCTCATTCACTTGTGTTCAAGATGTTAGTAGATTGTGATGTGTCATAATTTGTTACACATTTATACATAAATAATAAAGTTGAAAAAGGACGAGGTGAAAATATTCTTCAGTACAAAATAAAGTCTTAATGCCACTGACTAGCAACCTAAAGTTTCGAATTGCTATTGTGTATTTTACGAGATTACACAAATGATTCTGGAAAAAAATTCAAGTAAAAACAACTATAAAAATTATTTCTTTTAAATAAATCAGTCTCTGGTCAACTTCACGGATGTATGTAACCGCTTAAACCTATTATGAATTTACACAAATTTTACAAGATTCGTAGAAGCCATTTTTGAGGCTCTGCTTTCTCTTTTTATATGGCGATGACCGAGCTACTGAGATGGCTTCGTGATCGATATAAGTTAAAATAAATACAGCTCATTCACTATACTTGTGATCTTTTCACTACTAAAGGGTGTTTTTTTAGGCACGTGATTTTCAAGAAGATATAAATTCCTTCCAAGGCGCCAATTGTCATTGTCTTGGTCTCATCTGCGTGGAGGAGCGACTTTACTTAATCTCACAAAAAATCATCATTTAAAAAAACATCCTTTATTTAGCTAAGAATCTTAGCTTAAAGGCCTTGATGTTGAGAGTTAATAATTATGATTTTCTAGATAACATTAATAAAATTATTTGTGAATTCGAGGTTCCAAAAAAAAGGGCTTCAAGATTTATATATTTTTTTCTGCCAGTCAAGCGGTGATTTTCAAAAAATACTGACAATTTCTGAGCCCTAAGAGCTAAATTTAAAATTATAACTTATACTAACAACACTTAGAAAGTCTTTGCTTCATAGTCATTGGGATTTTAGTAGACTAAAATATTTGTCTGTGTTACTCATTAACCATTTTCCAAAAAAAAAAAAAAAATGTTTCAAATATAAATACATTTTGTGCTGCTTCCAACTACTCGTATTTGTTTTTTAATCCTCAGGTAGTAAAATTATATATCTATAAGCAACGTTAAAATAATTGTTTTTTAATATCATTAAATAAAATCGATATTAATAATAATTCGAGGGCGACTAATTTATTTAGTTTTCTTTTTTTCGTATAAAACAAATATTAGTATACAACACAACAACAAATTCTCGCAAACATCAATTTAAACACATATGTATGTATATGTTTATAGGTTTTTATCACAAATTTAAATACGATTGTATATGTATAAAAACAGTTATTAAGCACGAATTTATAATCAATGCAAAAAATAAAAAAATTATTAAAAAAAATAAAAAAAAATCGTTAAATAGAAAGTACAAAACGTAAATGAAATTGAAAATTTCACTGCAAATTCTAGAGCTTCGATTACGGTTTTTACGGGTAGGAATAAAGAAATTGAATGAAAAGAAAATTTAAAGTTTTTTTCGTTTCAAAAATGTATGTATATGTGTGCTGTGTTATTTATTTACTTCACGGTGACCTTTGAGTTGACTGTGTTTAAGTTCTCCTCTACTACTTTAACACAATCAAAGCAAAGAAAAGAAAAATGAATAAATTGTAGAAAAAAATAGTGTACAGAGAGAATGTGAAGGCATTCTTTTTTACTTATAAAAAAAACAGCTCAAAAGTCTTTAAGAAATAAATTTTTTTATATATCCCTTTTACGTTATTTGGTTCTTCGTATTTTCTAAAATTAACTTTTTATATGTACATACATACATATGTACATATCTGCAAATTTAATCGAAATTTAGTAACAAACAAATAAATGTCTTACTTAATTATATTTTGAGTTAGCTTTGGCAACTGTGAAAAATGAAAAGCATTTGCTGAAAGCGCTTAAGGCGATGATCGATAGGGCTTTAGTGTCGCCTTGCTTAAGTTATCGGTATATGGAACGGTGGCGCCGCGCTGCTACACAAATTTCTTTTGACGTCTAATGTAAATTTAAACATTTCTTTGGAAGGGCTAATTACCTAAATATTCTACCAGAGAAACAAAAAACTTCTCCTGTTTAGAGATCACCTGATCCTTTCCTAGTGGGGAAAAAATGAACGGAAGGCGGCCTCATCGGAACAATGCAGATATTCATCATATCCATACTAATGGATCTAAATGTGAGCCAGGCAGAGGGGCAGAGTTATTTTGTGATCACACCATTAACCAAGGTAGCTTCAAACTCAAAGAATACAACTCTGTATTCTAAGCAGAGATTTTCAGAATTACTAAAGGTGCCAAATGGGCAACCGCAAAGATTCAGTTAACAGACTAACGTGGGTAAACAAAGTGAATATCACTTGGATCCCACGGATATAGAAAGCGGACGAGCTAGTCATCATCGGCTGTTCCAGGTCCTTTATCTTCTTTAAAGGTTGTTTACAGCAATGGACTATGGAGGAGGAACACTTCATGTCTTGGAACTATTTCAATGGAAGACATATCACTAAAATATTAAGTAGACATAGACCAAACTGTTACCTTCATTAAGCAAGCGAAAAAAACTTAGCATTCTTATGGTTATATGAACGGTTAAGCTGCCTCTGAGACATCATTTCCTTAAGCTAAGTTATATGAAATCGGCGGCGTGGTGAGCATACACAGTGGATGAAGAAACGCTTTCGCACTACCTTTGCGAGCGTTCGACCTGCAGTCAATTGAGCCGTTATATCATCCACGATGCTCCCAGCTCTAACCTCATGGAGTTTAACACGCGAGCGAACTTTATGCAAACGCCTAGTTGGTATACACAGCGAAGCACAATGAGCCTGCTCTATGGCTTAATTGCGGCCACTTGCGGTCAGGTTCCTAACCACCATCCTTCAACCAACCTACCGAGTAACTCTGGAAGGTTTTACACCAAATCATCGTTGTTGCCAACCCCACATATAAAATTTGGTAAACCCTCATCTGACTATTAGCCGATTTTCATAATTTTTACGCTTTTAAAACTTTCTAAAAATCTGATTTTATGTAAATATGTTCTTCTATTTATTTACACTACATTTAATTAAATTACATAGAAATGCCTTCACTGGCTAAAAGTTGCTTTGAAAGGGTTAAGGCGAATTCTGTAGAATAAAATATAGACATTTGGAAAACAAAGAACTCAAGAGTATCATAGTCCTGGCGTTTTTCCCTCTGCTGGCAAAGTAAGAA